ATTAATTATTTATTAGGCTTAAAGATTTATAGTTTCTATAAGTATCTAATAAAGCTTAGCTATTTTAATAGTTATATTAATAACTTACTGTTAAAGTTAAGTAACTTCTTTATTTTCTTCTTTAGAGAAGTTATCTTTATTATCCCCTATAATCTAATTAATAGGAGGATTATTAATAAGGACAGTAAGGTGCTATTAGATAGGTTAGACTAATATAGCTATTATATTTATATTACTTAGCGTAATGCAATATAATCTAAATAAAAGCTATTAATATATAACAGTTAGGTCTAACTGTATTAAATTAAGCTATATTTAGGTTTATTATTAGCAGATTATATAAGGTATAATACTAAGCAGTTATTAAAGTATTATATCTCTTAATAGTAGATTTAATATATATTAGGCTTAATTAATATAAAAAAGTTTTATTAATAGCTAATAAGCTAGATTCTATTTAATACTAAATAAATATATATATACTTAATTATAAAGGTACTTAATGGTATTTCTATTAAAGACTGAAATATTATCCTTTTGGTTTTAGACTGTTATTGCAATACTTTAGTCTTATTGTAACTAATTAAAGTAAATAGATTAAGAAGGATCTATTCGGTCTAGTTATAATTAGTAAGATTTATAGGGAAATTTATAGGGTATATATAACATAACCGTAAGGGTTATAACACTTCTTTATAATACTTAAAGAGTATTTAATATTTATCCTAATTAAATTAATTATAGGTTAGATATTAGCAGCTTTTATAGCTAAAATCTAGATATATCTCTAGCCCTAGGATTAATAGTCCCCTATTAGCTAGTAGCTTTATACCCTTATTAATTAGGTCTTAAAGTACTAATAGCTATAAGCTAGGCAGTAAGAAAAAGGCAGTAAATTTAATAACCTCTTATAGTTACCTCCTGGCTATCTTATAGTAATTACAGTAATAATACTTAACCTGCTTTATATAAGGCCTAATTGCAATTAAGTAAACTAGGCAGATAAGAATATTAAGCTCTTTATATAGTTAGATAATAGCCTGGCCTTCTCTTACCTTAATATTATTATTACTATTAAAGTTAGTAATTACTAATATTTTATTAATTAATTTATTTATTAACTAATAGAAAGAAATAGAAAAATATAAATAAGTAAATAAAGTTAATAGCTAAAATAGCTATATAGATAAAATAGCTAGGCTTATTATTATTAATAATATAAACTTTAATTTCTAATTTACTTTACTTTTTATTATTATTAGTAATAATATAATATTAATCCTAATATAATAGATAAGTAAGTATAATAGCTAGCCTTTTTAAACTATAGCTTAAAGAGCTTAGTTAGGCCTATAGTTAGGCCCTTTATATTATAGCTAAAATAGGCTAATATTAAATAGAGAGGATTAATTAATTAATTAATAGATTTTACTAATAGTATAGTAATATTTAAATTATAATTAATTATTTTTTTTTCTATTATTAACTTAATTTATTTTAGCTAGGATTTATTTAGGTTAGTTAACCTTAAGGTTAGCTTAAAGTTAATTCTTAATAAGGGCCCTTTTTAGCTAATAGTTTACTATAAACTGCAGTTAGCAGTAAATAGCCTAAATGCCTGGCTTTCTTAGCTAATTAGTATATATTACTGCTAACCCTAACCCTACCTGCCGCTATAGTTTATGGCAAAATGCGCCTAAACTGGCAATTAGGCTATATTAAATAGCAGCTTTATATACTTTATTTAATATAAAATTAAATATTACCTACTTTTACTATAATATAGGCTTATTATCTTTAATTATCTATATTAACTATTATAATATATTTAGTTTAAATCTATTTAAATATATTAGCTATTTTATTTAATTTAACTATAGGCTTACCTTTTATTTATTATAAATATTTTATATTTATATTTTATCTTTACTTTTAAATATATTTTTATCCTTTTAGTAAATTTACTTTAAAAATTTAGCCACTTAATTAATACCTTCTTATATTTAATTTATATCTTTATAAATATTAATACTGTATTTAACCTTAATAAAACCACTTTTTACTTAAAACTAAAATAATTATTAATATTATATACCTTCTTTCTATAACTTTTTAATTATTATTATTTATTTTATATATTATCTTCTTTTATACCTATTAATAAACCTATACTTTACCTTATAATAATTTAAAATATATCTATTATTTAATTCTATATACTTACACTTATTATAACCCTTACTGTTATCTTTAGGTAATAGTATATATAGAATCTATTCTATAATTAATAATAGCAGTTCTTACTTTTCTAACTCTATTTAATTCTTAATAATATTAGAGATTTTATTAACTGCTTTCTATACTTACCTTACTTTAAGTTTTATTACTAATATATAATAATTCTTTAAATATATTAATACTTTATTTATAATATATATATATCTGCATTTTATATAAATAAGGAATAAAAATACTAATAAATAATAAATAAATAGGTYTATATTATATATATATATTAAAAATTTAAATAGTAGTTAGTATTTTCTTAATTATAATACTTAATGCTTTTATCTTTTAAATTTTTACTATTACTTTCTTTTACTAGCCCCTTAATCTTAAATATTAAACTTTATTATTAATAGCTTACTCTTTATATCTTATCTATTTAATTAAACTACTTAATTTCTCTACTTTTTATAATATCTTTTAATTAATTTTTAAACTTTAACTTAATATTATAACTATAAATAAACCAATTATATCTTAAAAATTAAATAAATAACTTACCTTAATATTTACTTTTTAATAATATTAATTTTATTAAATTACCTACTATAGTTTTAATTTATATTAACCCCCTATTTTTAAATTGTATTAATCTCCTATTATTAATAGTGCAGTTTTAATTTATATAGGATTTTAATTTATGCTAACTTAATGTAATTTAGAATTTAGAGTTAGCGCAATTTCAATTTATATAGAATTCTAATTTATGCTAATTTAGTGCAATTTGGAATTTAGAGTTAGGCCCTATTTAAAGTTAAAATATACTTACTTATTAGTTCCTGCCTAAATAGTATTATAGCTATTTAGTAATATAAATGCCTTTACTTTTTTTAATTAATTACTGCTTTACTTTAATTAATAATATACTTTATATTACTGCTGCCTTAATAGTTAAGTTAAATTAATTAATACTTTAAGAAATTATTTTTTTAAATTTTATTTTTAAATTAATATTTACTTTTATTATTTTACTTATTATATATTAAATTCCTTTATTTATATTAATAGTATATTAATATTTAGCTAGTCTTTATAATTATAAACTAGTTATATACTATATAGTATAATCTATTTTTACCTTCCTTTATTAATAGTTATTAACTTTTAATAACTTACTTAAATTTATATAAAACTTAATATATTTTCCTTTTAAACCTTATAATTACCTCTTTTTTATCTATTTTATATTACACTCTTATAGTTTAAAACTATAACTAGCCTGGCCTATATAGTACTTATTATATATTGCCTATTTTCTTTAATATAAGTAATACCTCTATTAATTACTTCTTAATATCTTAAAGCTATTTACTATATAAGTTAGGTAAATAAAGGGCCTTAAGGAATATCTTCTATTTTTACTATAACTGCCCTTTATTAAAAGCCTACTTAAAAGTTTAAAGGCTTTATATTTTATTATTAAGGAAGCTTATATTAATCTAAAGGTTATTAAGATATAGCTATATAAGCTAGAGGATTTTATAGCTAAAAAGAGCTAGCTTAATATAATTATTATTATTTTTAATTTTTTATTATAATTTAATTTTAGCAGCTAGGTTATAAAGCCTATTACAATTACCTTAATTAGCCTTTATAAAAGCTTACTTAATTATAGAGATTATATTATAATCTTTTATTAAATAAGGCTTATTAAGGTTAGGTTTCTATAAGCTTTTTTTAATAATAGGCATTATAATAATATAGCTATATTATTATTAGTAATTATAATTAAAAGGTATTTAAAATAGATAACTTACTATTAAAGTATATTAAATAATTAAAGTATAATATCCTTTAAAGTAAGGTTATAAAAAGAAGATTTTAATTAGTTAAAAAGTAAATAAGGCTTTCTAGCTAAATTAAATACATTAAGGTTTAGGCTGCAATTAAGGCAGCTAACTTAATAATATTAACTTAATAAAGCTTTATTACCTAAAAGGCAAGAAATATTTAAATTATAGTAAATTTTAAAGATACTTAAATATCTTTTAAGGCTAATATATAAACTTAAAAAATAATATATTAAATTAAGTTTACTTTTTATTTTTTAAATTAAAGTTTATTTTATATTATTAATAGTATATTTTTATTTTATATAAAGCTATAAATTAAGTCTATTATACTTAATTTTATTTATTAAAGATAAAAAAAAATAATTATTATATTAAATTTATAATAAAATATAATTATTAAATAAAAAAGATTTAATATTAATATTAATAATAATTTAATAATAAATTACTTTAAATCCTTAAAAGTAAAATCTATTAAAAAGAAATTTTAATAAAAGTAAGCTTTAATTAATATAATATTATTAAGTCTATTTATTTAAAAGCCTAAAGTTAATTAATATTTTTTAATATATTAACTTAATATATTTTATTAAAATATTATAAGCTTTAACTATTAATTAATTAAATTTATTTAGCTTTTTTACTTAAAAACTACTATACTACTTTTTACTTTAATTTATATTTTAATATAATTAACCTACAAAGGTAATTAATAAAAAATAAGTAATTATACTTATTTAGCTAATAGTAAGGCATTAATATAAAAATAGCTTAATATTAAATAGATTGTATAATATCTATTATCTATATACACTTTTCCATTAGTGCCATTTAAGTTAGGTAGCTCTGCTGGTTAATGTAAGCCGCATGCATGCTTTATCTAAAAAGGCCATTCCCCACTTTCATAATCAACCTCGGCTTATGTCCCTTAACGGCTTATGTCCCTTAACGGCTTATGTCCCTCAACGGCTTGTTACATCTGACATCGTTCAGCCATTAATCCTTTCTTTGGCCACACTAGTCATTAGTCGCTATAACATCATGGCTTTGTGCATGTCGTGTTATGAATTATGTGTCGATCTCGGCAAGGATGAAAAAGCCATGTCTGCGTTCAACGACTGGTTCACTGTCAGAAATGATCAAGAGCCATACTCAGATACAACCCCAAAGCTCGCTGGACTTGTACACTTTTCTTGGGAGTCTTTTTGCAACTCCCTCGATCAAGAATGTCCGGTTTGTTGGACTGCCTGGCGACATTTGAGGTCCTCTCCGTCGGCTATGTATCGTGAGGAGGTGCATCCTGGATTCTATATCTGGGTTGGGGATTGTCGGCGTGAAGGACGTAGGTTAGGTACGTGGGTGTTGCACTTCAAATACACCTGGGAGAAGAAAGAAACTGGTTCCTACGTCGTGTCAATTAAAAGGACGACAAAACAGCATTTTGATGGTAATGATCCGTCAAGAACACTCAGTGTCAATCGCTGACCGTTGATCTACTATAGCCGAGGCAGCTGGTTCTCCTTTGGAGGATCACATTGCTTCTGATACAACCTTAAACACCATCAAAGGCTGGATTTCTCAATGCCTGGACGGCCATTCTAAATGCCGATTGCGGAAGCAGCATACTCTAGACAAGAGCGTGCCAACACGGTTGGTCGATGTGCACGACAGCCAATCCAAGATGTGGTCCTTAATCGAAACGGGGGACCATGACCAAGACTATACAAAGTATATTGCATTATCACACCGGTGGCTAGATCATACACCTCAGCTGCTACAGAGTACTTACCCACATCTACGGAAAGGCCAATCTGACGACACTGTCCCCCCTAGCTATCAAGACGTCTTTGTCCTCTGCCGCGCATTAGGCGTCAGATATGTCTGGATTGACTCGCTCTGTATTTTGCAAGATTCTGACGCGGATTTCTACCGAGAAGCTGGGACAATGGCGAATGTCTACATGAACGCCATCTGCACCTTGAGCATATGCTGGGAGTCTCCTAACAGCGGTATTTTTCGGCATCGAAACGTTCGCACGATTCCTCGATACTCAGAAACCTACGTAGCCTCGCCTACGGAGCCGAATAACTATGCCTTTGTGCTTGACCATTTTATGTGGTCTCTTGCTGTGAGTCGGGCCCAGGTCAATCGAAGAGGATGGGTGTTTCAAGAACGGCTACTGTCGCGCAGGATACTCTACCTGGGCAATGAAGAGCTCTACTGGGAGTGTGATCAGATTCAGGCCTGCGAAACAGCGCTTCAAAAGATACCCTTTGGATCCGAACATCTTGGCCGCCTAAATATCGTTGGATACGACGCAAAACAGGTCCACAGCCTCTGGATGCGTCTTGTGGAGCGTTTTATGAGGCTGGACTTGACGTTTGAGAAGGACAGGCTTATTGCCATCTCGGGAATCGCCAGATTCTTGTTCAGTCGGCCTGGCGATGAGTACATTGCGGGAATACTCAGAAGTAATTGGATAGACCACCTGCTATGGTGTCCTGCTCTTGGGTCTTCAATATCAGAGAATCCCCGTGACGCCGTTGGTCCGGAACGGTTTGCGCGACGTCCCATCGAGGCCATTCCGTCGTGGTCATGGGCGACGTGTCCGGGGCCTATAGATTGGATATTTCCACACTACAATGGAGGCCCTACTGAAATACCAGAGTTGCCGCGTATCTGGCGGGCGGGGCGGAATTGTCTGGCCTACCTTCGCGACTGCAGTTTCGTGCCCGTGGGAGACGACATGTATGGACTACCCAAATCGGCGGCGCTGGACTTATCCTGCCTCCTGATACCAGCCCGATTCAAGGAGTGTGAAAGCAAGGGAGAAGCTTGCAAAGAAATCGAGGCAATCGAAGTTAATTCTGACCCGAACCCAGAGCATGGATACCTAGTATCAGATGGCTTCCTGCTTCCACTACCGTATCCGAGGTCTCATCGAAATGGACCAGCAGTGATTAATATCCCCTTAAGAAATTGTATCCCGTTCATTCCGACTTGCTATATCCTACCCCTTACCGACTCGAAATACCATGGCTCCACATTGATGGGAGGCTTGATCGTTCAGGAGCTATCGCAGAGATGCGCTGGCAGTGGTACGAGAGAGTTTGTGCGCATAGGAAATTATTCTATACGTCGAAATCCCGATGAGTCAGACACCGTGAGCTTTGGGATCTACAGCGCTATTGCGAAGGAAGTTCTTACTGGCGCCGCTGATAGGGATGAGGTTGTTGAGTTCAAGTCGAAGCTCGGTGAGTATGCGCGATGGATGAGAGAAGAGATTCCACTCAACAGGAAAACAAGGAAGGATGTCACGGTGAAAGCTGAGTGGACAACGATTCGTCTTACTTGAAGACGATTGAGCTGGTTCAAGGTGTGGCGCAAACACCGGTGGCTAATTAACAACACTGGCTATGTGTTCCGGTAGTTACATACTTTCTATCCTAACACATTCCTTACCGTCTTTGGTCCTTTTCTGAAAAATCAGTTACTTACTAGACCATTAATGCAAGGAAACATGGAATCCATGTCCGAGATCTTGAAGACCTGGCAAGTACTACCTTAAACAGGTATATTACCTATAATGTAAAGTATAATAAGATATCTAAATTTCTATAGCAGTATAGCGCTTTATTAATAGACTTAAACTTAAAATCTTTATCTTTATAGTATTTATAGATATATACTTTAGTTTTATAAACTTAATAAATATTAAGGCTATTATTTTTAAGTATACTTTATTTTTCTTAAAGTTTTTATTATTTTAATTTTATTTATATATATATATATATATATTAAATAATTAATATTATTATTTTAATAAGTAAAGGTTTTAAATTAAGCTAAAGGTAAAATATAAACTTAAGTAAAAGGGGTTAAGTAAAGATTTATTTATTTTCCTTTTTATTATTAACTTTATATTATATTTTAATTTATTATTTTAATTTATATTTTAATACTTATTTATATAATAATATATAATAATATAAAATAAACTTAACTTTATATAATATATAATAATAAAATAGAAATAAAGTTAAATTTTAATTAAATATTAATAATAATAATAAATTATATATAAGTCTATTAAATGCTAAGGACAGCTATCTCATAAGACTTTAAGAACGTTACAGCAAATACCCCATCCTCTGCTTTAAGACTCATCGTCCTAATTGAGCTTGTCTCACCTCTACCACTAGGGAGGTTATTAACACTAGACCCATTTAGCGCAGACAAGACAGTCAACGTAGCCATGGTAGCTTGAGAACCCTTAAACTTAACCTTGACCGCGTTGGATGAGCCTGTTTTGCCATTGTAGTTAACCAGCTTAAGCAAAGTCCTATGCGCCGTCTTAGTCGCGGACCAGTAAACAGGACCGAAGCCTCCTTTAGTGACATTGACAGGGACAGTCTCGGAACCAAGGTTGGCAGCGAAAAGCTTCTGTACATAAAAGCTGTTTGTCTTGAGGATCTGGTCCGCTGTGTGTTTCAATAGCGCAACCGTCTGCGGCTCTTCGTCGTATTGTTTAATGAGGGCGCCATACGCACTACCTACGATAACATCGGAGTTTCTCTCACAGCCGAGCAAGAATATAGCCTCAGCACAGGCCATCGAGAAGGTCTGCGCGCCAATCTCGCCTCCGCTGTTTGAACCCGATCGGATGGCTGCGTATTCAGCCACGAACACGGGATAATCTCGGCTTGCTTGGTCGAAAGTGTTGAACAAGCTGACGAAATGGGCCTCACTATCGTAGATGTGAAGGTCAACCATACCTCCGTTATCCTTGTCAGGCGATGGTGACGGGTTGATGGACGAGATGACGTTCATCTTGGGATACTTGGCGCGAATGGCGTTGTACAATGCCCTGAAGCGGTACGACTTGTATGTCGGTTCACCGCCATTGAGATAGTCCTCGTTTCCGATCTCGACCCACTCAATAGTGAACGGCTGAGAGAATCCGAGAGAGGCACGTAGTGACCCATATTTTGTAGATGTATCACCCTAGCCAATCAGTGAGCTGGGGAAGGTCGAGTGCTGGGATTACTCACAGTGAGAAACTCTAGCTCACTTAAGGCTAGATCGACATAAGGTCCGATGTCCTTTTGTGCAATAATGTCTCCGTTGAGGTAAAGCCCAGCAAAGAGTCCAAGCACAACGGTAAGGTTCAAGTCCTTGGCCATCTGCATCTGCTCGAGGATACCGAAGCCATCTGTGTTGATATCGCCCCAAGTGCCTAGTCTACCAGGTCGGTCCTTGAGATCACCGATAGTCTCATTCCACTTGAAGTGATAGGGGAAGCCAATACCCTCCATGTTGTTACCGCCTGGCAATCTGATCCACGAGGCGCCTATATCGCCCACAGCCTGTGCAAGATCTTCACGCAAACCATTAAAGCGGTTCTTATAAGTTTGCTTGAAAAGACTCAACAGGTTGATATGCAGGGACTTTCCAGCAAGCTCGTTGCCGTCGAAAGTAAAATAAAATGTGTTATTGGGAGTTCCAGGTGAAGAAATGGGATGAAAGGTAGAAGTTTCAATTTTCCTCCAGCCATTGGATTCTGCTTGAGTTACCTTGACAGCAGTACTTGACAGTTTCTTTCCCGTAATAGAGTTATTGAAGTATACCTCGATGGAGCCATTGTAGTCACCTCTGGTGTGTAGACTGGCGATATAGCGCTTGGTGGCATCAACGTTAAAACCCCAGAAGCCTTCATTATAAAACCCTACCTTACCGGTTGCGCCTTTAGGAACGTCCATGCGGAGGTGGTACGGCAAGCTGGAAGACAAAGCAGGCTTTGAATCATCAATAGAGAGGGCGACACCACCGACCGGATGCCAAAAGTCTGTATTGCGGTCCAGGCTAGCAACGCGGTTCTTGGAAGAGCCCTGAAAAGCACGATTGCGGATCAACTCTCCATACAAACCACCATCTCCAGAGTGATATATATCCTATTGAACGACATAAGTTTGATCGAACATGTGAGAGTAAGAGGAATAATTCTAGTACCTCGTAAAGGACACCATAGAGAAGCTGGCTTGAGGAGTTGCCGCCAGAGGAATCTACGGACAGACTCAGAGCAGAGACAAAGTGGAGTAGGCAGGAGAGAGCTAAGATGTAATGCATGATAAAGGAATTGTAAGACTAGAAGATAGCTAATGTTACTAAGAAGCGGCTTGGAATAGCTCTAATTTAGACGTCTACTTCTTAACGGACTCTCTTATATGGAATTAAAACTGTGCAATCTCGGATCTCGCTTCTGGCTATTTTCGGCCGAGTCTCCTCCGAAGCGGCGAGTCAGACAGACGGCTTGCTGCCGCGTGCTTGATTTCAGACATCAAGCGATCCTATAGTAATAGATTTTGACCAAGATCTTCATTATTAGCTTGAATGAAAGTCAATGATTTATCGACATCACAGATTTCTGAGTTGATCTCGGGTCAATGATACTGCCAAGCCGATAAGACCCCAGACTTTTACCCCGCAGATTGATCGTTGCGGAGGTACATGTGAACAGTAGTAGTAGCTAACTTCGTCCGATAAAAAAGTGCTGGATCAGTTGCTAGGTGGCGTGGCAGCCCTGGACAATTCCCGTGTTCTGATTGCTGCGCATGTTCTCCTCCGCGGCCGGGGTACTGGGTAGGTTCCGGAATAAAGAGCCTCTAAGTGGGTAGAATACCGAAAGGCACCTGGGTGTTAAACGCCAATCGTCGGCGGAGGGGGACATAGCGCCATCATTTAAATTAAGCACGCTGAAAAAAAGTCAGACTAAGCACCCCACGAGCTTCTCCACGGGGGAAAGTAGCCTAATCAGGCTTTCTCGACTGTGGGCTTTCCCCTCATTGCACCGTCAGGTGAAGAAGCAATGGGCCGGCTGGTGACAGTGGTCAGCCGCAGCTCTACAGCCGAGCCAATCGCCAAGCAATCAGCTCGTGATTTAGTCTAGTTCCTGATTCAAGTGAGGACGATTGCGGGGTAGGCATCCACGTTCCAGACCCTACACTAAGCGTTTGCTACCTACTCGAATACGGGAATTGGATGTTTTTCTTCAGACGCGAAGCTAGCGCAAATGTCAGAGCGCTTGACACTTACCCCAGTAGTCTTCATACATGTATTTCTATAAAAGCTCCTGTCCTCCCCGCATGATCTGCAGACTGGACCCAGAAAAGCATCGTCCGCCATGATTGCTCCCAAGACCTACCAGTTTCTCGTCGGCGTCTTCGCCTCGCTCGGATCATTCAACTATGGGTAAAGCACACAGAACCAACAGTCCGGTGCCGTCTCAGCTGACCGTAATAGTTATGACCTTGGCGTTATCGGAGGCAGCGTTGCCTCAACCTCGTTCAAAACATCTTTCAATCCAAACGCAGATGAAGTGTACGCATGCTCATTGACCCATGTTCTATCCTTTGTCGCTGATAACCCGATAGCGGTGCCGTTGTATCGCTCTTCACAGGCGGTGGCTTTTTCGGAGCTTTCGCAGCTGGTCCCATGGGTGACTGGCTGGGCCGAAGAATGGCAATCATGATTGGTGCCATTATTTTCTGCGTCGGTGGGGCCTTGCAAGCAGCTGGCCAGAATCTGTCCTTCTTCTACGCTGGTCGAGCTGTCGGTGGGTTTGGTGTTGGCATTCTCGTCATGATCGTGCCAATGTACCAGGCCGAGATCGCTCATCCTTCTATCCGAGGCCGAGTCACTGGTCTGCAGCAGTTGATGCTTGGTATTGGAGCCGTCTTCGCAAGTAAGTCAAAGATCCAAACATTCTGATGACCACGTGACTTACTCCATCCAGCATGGACCGTATATGGCACCAATTTGCACTTTTCCACGAGCGAGCAATGGCGTATACCCCTTGGCCTTCAAATTGTCCCCGCCGGCATCCTTGCACTTATGATTTTACTCTTTCCAGAATCACCACGCTGGCTGATTGACCACGGTAGAGAGGAAGAAGGTCTCAAGACGTTAGCCAAACTTCATACCAATGGGAATCAAAACGACCCTTGGGTTCAAGCCGAATACCTCCAAATCCAATCTGCTATCGCCCACGAGCACGAGCTTGCAGCGAAGGGTTACCGGGAATTATTCACTGACCGCGCAAGCTTCCGTAGACTCTTCCTTGTCACTGCGCTGCAGGCTTCTGTCCAAATGACTGGTGTATCAGCCATCCAGTACTTTACTCCAGACATTTACAAAGCCATGAACATTGATACCACAAGTTCGTTGAAGTATCAGGCTATCAGTAATGTACTCTCCGTTCTTGCCCAGCTCTGCACCGTGCTTTTCATCGACAAGCTTGGTCGTCGCTGGCCGTTAATCATCGGCAACGGTATCAACTGCATTTGCTTCATCATCGTGACCGCAGCTCAAGCTAGCTTCCCTCACGCTTCAACATCGATGCAGAACTCGCTTGGTTGGCTTTTCATCGTCATCAACTGGTGCTATCAAGTCAGCTTCTCCTTCACCTGCGGCTCCCTTTCTTGGATCATTCCGGCCGAGGTGTTTGACACAAAGACCCGTTCTAAGGGCATCTCTATTGGTGTCATGACCTCCTTCGCTTTCAACACTATGATCGGACAGATAACAGCCCCGGCTATCGAGAACATCGGTTGGAGGTACTTCCTGGTATTTGTGGTTTGCAATTTCACAAATGCTATCTTCTTCTGGGCGTTTATGCCAGAGACGAAGCTGCTGCCACTTGAGGAGATGAACATCTTATTCTCGAGTACGTCCTGGTTTGTGCCTGGAACCTCGCAGAATCGTACAAGTGACTTGGATGCCAGGGTTGAAGAAGCTAAGTTGCAGAAGGAGGGCTTGGAGGTAGGGCAGGTTGAGACTGTACGAGATTAACTTTTGTTGCATTGGTCTTGTAGCGTCTCAGTGAAGCTGCGGTTAAGTCCCGAAAGCAAAAACCATGTATTGGCGTCAATAGCTTCCTATGTAGCAATAGCTAGAGATATGATCTAGGTAGAGAGTCAGCTGGCTGATCTTGAAGATATATCCAGTCAATGACCTATATACCTGACCTTACTCTGCCCTGTGCAAACCATCTCTTACAATAGTGCTGAAAATACCTTACGGCACTAAAATGCCCAAAATACATCATGGTTTCCATATTGCATATATCTCCGCTCTCAACACTTCCCAGCATCCTATTTATAGTCTCTGAAGATCTTTCTCATACGCTATGATGTTTATCGTGCCAGGCGCGATCGCATGTTACGCCATTTGATCACGCTGCCGCCACGGCGACGGGGAGCGTGAATCATAGGCACGGCCTGATTCGTAGGCTCGGTAATCTTTAGTTGCTGTATATCGTCGATCATGAAGCAATTCTTCATCCATCACAATGTTGTCGGTCGAGTTACCGGTTGACTGTAACTTGACATGATGGGCTTCAAAATGTCGTCCGCGGTGGGTTCCGTGAACACGGAAGTGCCTGAAGTCTAACCAGGTGATGACAGTAAGGTAAGAGGCAATTGTGCTACAGTAGAGTTCTGGTCAGTGAGGTGCTACCAGTCAGATATTGTTGACATACCTCATGACTATGCCGAGAACACAAACCACCCAGCTGAGTATGCAAGTAAATCCTTCGCAGAACTTGAGATTGGCTTGGATCATCATAAACGCAACTGCAGCCCAAAACACGATCTCAAGTGCGTTGAGTACAACATAGGCCTTAACACTGGACCATTTTTTGAATGCTTGCACATGTTCCGATAACAGTTGGTAGAACAAAATGACGAGAGATTTTGCGCTCTGTGACCAGATTTTGTCAGCTGTCTTATACAGTATGAAACCAGTTTCTACTTACCATCCCCAGCGCCATAGTATTTGAGCGGCCTCTGGGGGCATTCTTTGGCTGTTTCAGCATTCGTATGACCGACAAGATCAGCACTGAGACGATCAAGAGTAGCTCCACGAGATGAAGCGGCAATTTGAGACGGTTGCTGAAGATGCTAGCCATCACTGAACCTTGACAGAAAAGTAGTTATGCGAAGCTTTGGAGGCGTTCTTGCGATAAATGATTGGGAGGATAATAGATGGCTTAACAGGTAGAGGAATGGATGTGTTTAATTGATGTCAAACTGGGATGGAAAAGGTTGAAATACTCATTCTTAAGGACAATTTTAAGCAACCTTTTTTTACAATCAATCCACAAATTCTAACCTTAAGTCTTTATAAGCGTATACACTGTAGATCAAAGTGTCCTACACTTAGATTAATTGCAGTGTATCGGTTTCGCTTTCGGTTCATGGTTTCCCAGGCCCACTACAAGCTCAGGGCTTAGAACCCAGATAAAGCCGCAAAACTACAATAAGGCGGTAGAGGTTGCACAGCCTTACGGGGCTTTCATAGGCGTCGTTGCATGATGTACGGCCCATTGCGGTAATATTAAGCTTGTTTAATGGAGACTGGCCAGCTTGGCTAAGCATAGCCATAATAAATACTGTGTCAGAAGCATCTCCAGGACCTGTTCCCCTGCAGCTGATGCTAAATTTAAGATGAGCGAAAGAGCGGGGCCGAAACCGAAACCGACCTGTTTACTCCGCAGCCTGATAATAAACGCGTATAACGCGACCGGCGATTCATCTTGCTCATACTTTATCGATCCCTAAAATGCATCAGCATCCTTAGCATACTATCAGATAATAGATATAATAGACTTAACTTTCTCTCTAACCGTTCTATTTTCGCATCTTACGGCAATGTCGTATATATTTCTTGTCAATTGACATGTATCCAGTGATATCTGGCCAATCTAGCTTCTATCTCCAACCGCGACAACATAGGACTGTCCCCAAAATGTGTCTCATCTATCAAATCTATCCAAGGTTCTTTTTCTTCATCACTATGGCTTGGGCTTCTTGCTTGGGCCCTTTTCACGTAGAGGTTGTCACTGACGTCGGCATAAGCACATTGCTTGGACGTCAACCGTTTCGTGGTGTTGAGACCCCACAGAGACAGAATAAGAGCGGTTGCTCTTCGTGACCTTCTCTTCAGCCTCTTCTTCCCAGGCTGAAATGTTCTATCATCTTACACGGCTCGCTGGGCTGGAGTCGGAATCCTACACTGCGTTCTGACTGGGTTTCTGCCTTGACGTCCTAGCACTCATTCTTCCCGGCGTTTTCAGCGTACCTAGGCGCTTGGGGTTTCTGTCTTCCGGGCGTTGTGGTTTACTTACACATTAGACAATGACCTTATTGGCTCCAGTCCGACTAAGCCCCAGTAGCGTCATTCAGGAAGGAATATAATTCTTTGAGTGTGATTGAGACGTTCAGATCCTTGACATCGGCCAGGAGGTCCTCATCGCAAGTCATAGAGAGAAAAGGTCAATTCACTGTTCAGATTCATCGGTCTTTTGTCGGCTGTGGAAAAGGACTTAAGAATATCAGTCAGTCTACAAGTTTATCATGCTGATATTTACAAGGAGACTCACAACTGCCTTGATAACTTGCTCGCCGTTCTGATTCCTATTCACTTCCGTTCTCTTCCAGATTTGATTCAATTCTCTAAGCAGCCACAGTTGGCGGCCACTTACAGGTCATTGAAATACACTAAGAACACAAATGAAGTTCAATGCAGTCGATAGTAGATGAATGTGTTTTAATTAAAGAGGCGGTAGGGCTATTATTGGCCGTAACACGATAAGTCACTATCTTGGGATCACATACTAAGTTCTATGTAGTGAGTACAAGTTCTGAGCTACAGATCTCAGCTTCATGTTAAGGAGTCAGTACAAAGTGCAGCAAACCACACGATAGCATCCAATGAAATGACTCTACCCCAGCGTGAAAGTGCCTACTGGGGAATGTCAACCACGCCAACAATGAGAGCATTGGTATTTGCTTCGCCAAAGTTGCCTCCGCTTGCAACGAGCAATTTGAGGTTACCACGATTATTCTTGATGACTCGAAGGTCTCGACTGTAACCATTCTTCTGGTTGATGTCGACTCTCTTCCAGTTTTCTGGAAATGCTCTGTAGTCGTTGATGTAGACGCTACTATCACTGTTGCCGTTGGCGATAAGGATCCCGTGCTTGCTGCTGGCTTTAAGAGGGGCCCAGATGATGAAGGGTGAGCCGTAAGGACTCATCGCCGCTGTGTCATTAGACACAATTGGCCAGATGGGCTTGCCGAAAAACTTGGTCGGGTCATTGGAGACAATGTAGTTGACCTGGCAGTTTTTTACCGGTGCACCGCAGTTTTCAAAGGTCATGATGTAGTTATCGTTGATGGGTATGTGCGCGACGGTAGTCATCCCGGGGCGTCCATCGTAGTAGTTCATAGAGACATCATTCACGATTGGGGACCAGTTTCTCAGATCAGTCGTAGTAGTATGAACCAGTTTCTGACCATGATGTGGGTCACGTTGATCAGAGTAGTAGACAATCAATTTGCCCTTATACATCAACAAGAATGCTTCCCAGATGGCTTTATCGCTGTTACGGACGGTCTCTGGACCTAGCCCGTAAGCAATGTGACTGAGGAAAGTGAATGTTTTGGCGCCGTCTGTACTGGCATACATATCGATGTATGCATGGCTTTTATTGCTGGGAAGTGACGTGCCCACGGCGAGGATTGTGCCGGCCGCATACCCGCCGAACCTCTCAGGCAAAGAGTACAGGATAGGCTGGTATGCCATTCCCCAGCCATTAACCTGGTCCCTGAATCGTGAGTGCTCTTTCCAAGTCGCCCCACCATCTGTGGACCGGAAGATTGGGAGAGACAGCGGATCTTCTGGCGAATAGATCTCGCAAGTGATGAGGAGAGAATTATCGCTCATCTGGAGAGTGCGAGCATAGAGAGTGCGCGGGTCGACCCAAGAGGGAGGCGGGGTAAACACCACGTTGTTGTTGAAGTTACTCCAGGGACGTGGAGCTCGAGGTGAGATGGCGCTGGCCAAGGCTAGAGGGTGTAAAGAACTGGCGACCGCCAGAGACGCAAGCACAAGATTGAACATTTTGCTAATAAGACGTAGAATGAATTGGCCAAAATTGTTGTTGAGACTATAATCGAGTGAATGGTGGTTTTGTGTAGGGAAAGATAGCTAGATTTTATACTCTCCTCGTTCAAAGAATTTGCACAATAAATCAACTTAGGCTCAGTGTTCTCTTAATCTTGCTTCTCAGTCCTTGTCCTCTTCCGCATGGGGATCTTGTTACCCCTCGTACACAATGACCCTTTCCTTGCTACGGCATTGGAAACCTCTTTGAGAGGTCGTATGTTTCGGCAAGTAGATCGATACGACGAATGATGTCAATCCCATGTCTCGGAGTTTCTTTTTCAGCCTATTACTCCTGGTTTCAACCACTTTAACCGCGGACCTGAGACGAATCAACGGGCGCCAATCCCCGAGTTCGTATTTCCAACCACAGCAATCGTGATTCATAGTCACCTTTCCAAAGAGCCTATAGCCATATAGATATTCTCTAAGTACTTGATTAAAGTCGCAATAGGAAGAAAAGACTCTACTTACGTCTTCCATCGTCTATCTTGGTATTGATGGAGCAAGCTGACATGACTTTTCCAGCACAGAAATCTCACCAACAAAGAGATATATCTAACTTCTTCGCTATCTTTGGTGACAGAAGCTACATGTTATCCGTCGATAAGTTCTCAAGACGTTGGACTATAATTGGTATCATGAGCCACACCGAAATCGTTTTTACCTCCTCTTTGTCATTCGCAACTTGACGAATGCCTTCTTCTACTTCTATCTCTACGAGATCTCGCGCATTCCACTCCAGAACATGAACGGCTTTCTCAATGGCTCTTGGCTCGTACCAGCAACAAGAGAAGACAGTCAGCCATCCATCGTCAAGATGTTGAAGCCAAAATCGTCTCAGAAAAAACAACTACAAGACCGAAGCAATGCGTAGGGAGTGAAAGTGGCAACCCAGTATAAGCTTTTGGTGCTGTGATAGAAGCTTTACATCTGCATGGCACTTGGACACTTGAGATGGAGACTTGGCTGGGAGGCAAGCTAGAGCAGCTCCTGTGTGAGTGGGCGTTGGATGATGGTATTGGGTGGCAGCCGTGGCAGCCGTGGTTTACTTTCCGTTCTTGCTAGTTGGGCTACATCTGTATACTGTATGTTGATTTAGGCGATGATAAAGCCGAAGTACTAGATCGTGAAACATATCGAGAAATTTTTATCAATTCATTTCAAGCTACCTATATAGCCTCTGCGTGCAATGTAATATTGACCCGCTAATATCTTAACTACCTTGCCAATCTTTTTCAAGACAAAGAAACCATTTATGCAAATGAAATGGAAACGCGGTAAAGCTTCGGTTCAATGTTTTAAATCCCGTTTCTCACCTTCAGCTCCAGGAATTGGATGAGGTCCCAACATGGCATCATGTAAATTCCTCACGGCGAGAGACAAAATCGCACTATGTCATACAGCTATCACCAAGCATGGAAAAAGAGAGTAAAATATCATTCCTTACTTGAACTAGTCTCAGCCGCTGCGTTGTACTGTACTTTCTATTCTAAAAGGTGGCTTTTCCTTGTAGATCAATTGTTTATTCTGAACACCGGGTAAGATACATGGGTGAGATAAGGGATTTCTTGCACATTTGATGTCGATTGGCTGATGCAGTCTCCGACGCTAAATTTACTGTGGGCTGAGCGATGTGGAGAGTCACGGGAATGAAACATGCTGATTCGTGTTTAAGCCGCGGCTAATTCGTTATCGAATTAGCCTACCAAATATTACAGAGTACTCTTTCGGGGG